AACAATCACTTTTAAGAGTTATAATTATTTCATTGAATTAAAAAAATAAGAGTTAAAAAAATACCAAATTTATAGGTCCTAACTAAAAAAAGTACTCCATTTAAAAAACATACACATTTTTTTTTTTTTTGTCATCCAAAATTAATTAGAGCTCAAAAGAGCCCTGAGGAATGTTGTTTACATATGTGATATGAAGCGGTTATGTACAAACTTTTCGTGCCAAATTATCTGCTTTAGTATTTGCTCTACGAGAAATTAAAGATAAAGAGAAAGATGAAAACTCCTCCTTGTCCCTCTGAAATTCCTCCAAATACACTGAAAACGCCGGCCATTCGGTTGGAGAAGACACCATCTTCACCAGGTCTGAACAGTCTGTAAAGAACGCTACCTCTTGATTATCTGCACCAATCATACACTTCATCGCCCAGAGAAGGGCCTCGACTTCGGCATGTAGTGGAGATAGACTTCTACGGAGGTTCGCAGCTCCCATGGTTGGCGGCTCCATTTGACGATGTACAGAACCACCCTGTACCGGAGAACTTATCACTTCCTTTCCATGATCCATCCACAAAACAACGGTATCCGGAATAATTTGACTCAAGTGAAACATCCCTCACTCGAATTCGATTTACCAGATCCACAGAACCATGATTTTCGTTATGGAGGTCAACTTGAGCTGATTGCCACAATTATGCCTCTTTTTCCGCTAATCGTAATACCTCTATGGGGTCTGTATCTATGTTTTCAAAGATTTTTTCATTCCTTGCTTTCCAAATATACCAAATAATCCATGGGAATGCTGATGAATCAAATTCCGAAGGTATTCTCCAGAATAAGTGATCCAAATTCGCAAAATTAGATTCCGTTGGAAAAATCCCCATAGCCGTAGGAATCTGTGAAAGCGCCCAAATCTGCCGTGCCGGGTGGCACTGAAAGATTGTATGATTGATCGTTTCCTCTGGTGCGCCACATCTAGCACATCCCGTATCACAATCAATTTCTCGTTTCCGCAAATTTTCCGTAACCGGTACACAACCTGCTAAGATTTGCCATAAGAAATGGCGTATCTTAGGTGGACATTGCACTTTCCAAGAATGTGCTTTTAACGGATTGATATCAGGGCCAAAAAAATTTAAATTTGTCTCCAACTTTTCTAACCGTGTGGTATGATAGCCGGATTTGACTGTATATTGTCCGGATTTTGTAAAATGCCAACCCAAAGAATCTTCTTTTGTTGGCGCACCCACATGTATGGCGCTTATTAGCGCAACATCTTCTGGATCAAAGATCGCTTTTAAGAGATCAATATTCCAAAAGTTCGTCTGACTATCTATAAGGTCGTTAACTTTTAAAGATGGGTCAGCAACTGAGCCATTACTTTTTGCTGGTCTCGGGAATTGAGCTGGAATCCAGGGATCCTCCCAAACCGAGATGGATGTCCCAGATCCGACTCTTTTAATAAGTCCTTTATTAACCAGAGATCTAGCTGAACATATACTCCGCCATCCATATGATGAAGAATATGTTTTTATGTTTTCCAAAGGATTGGATTTCCTAAAATACCGTCCTTTAAACACCTTTGCGAAAAGAGAATCTGAACCGTGATCAACCGCCATAATTGTTTTGCTAGTAAAGCTGAATTAAAATCGTCAACATTCCGAAATCCTAGTCCCCCTTCCGATTTGCTATTGCACAATTTATTCCAAGCCATCCAGTGCATACCTCTAGAATCACCATTTGAGCTCCACCAAAAATTTGCAACCGCGCTAGTAAGTTTATAAGTGATTGTTTTTGGTAATCTGAAGCATGACATAACATAAGTTGGTAACGCTGCAGCTACCGATTTAATCATCACTTCTTTTCCCCCTTTTGATAAAAATTTTGCCGACCATCCATTAATCCTTGTTTGTAGTCTCTCTCTGACAAAAGAGAAGATTTTTGTCTTGGATCCTCCTAAACTCTCCGGCAATCCAAGATAAGAACCCATACCACCGATATTAGTGATACCTAAGGTAGATTTGATTTCTTCCTTAATATCATCATCTACCTTATGTCCAAACTGAATAGAGGATTTTAAAAAATTAATCTGCTGCCCCGATACCGCTTCATACTTCTTTAAAATTCCCAAAATTACCTCACACTGATCCTTGTTGGCCTTGCAAAAAAATAAGCTATCATCCGCAAATAACAAATGTGAAACCGGAGGGCATGCATTTGCTACTTTGATACCCGTAATTAATTTTTCCCGTTCAGCTTTCTGAATATTCGCAATTAGCACTTCTGTGCAAAGGATGAATAAATAAGGTGAGAGCGGGTCTCCTTGTCGTAAACCCCTCTCTGGTACTATTAGTCCTCTAGGTTGTCCATTAAGGAGAACTCTATATTGGACCGTTGTGATACACCACATTATCCATTTAATCCATTTTTCACAGAAACCCAATTTTCTTAAAACCTTCTCTATGAAAATCCATTCCACCCTATCATAAGCCTTACTCATATCCGTTTTAATTGCCATGAATTTTCCTTTACATGACGGGTTAGTTCTCAACCCATGGAACATCTCTTGTGCGATAAGAATATTATCCGAAATCAATCGTCCTTCTACAAAAGCCGATTGTGTTTCCGAAATCAATTTTGGTAGCACCGTCTTAAGTCTTTGGCAAAGAATCTTCGATATAATTTTATACCCAACATTGCAAAGACTGATGGGCCATAATTGTGTCATCCGTGTCGGTCTTTCCGTTTTTGGAATCAAGCAAATATTAGTTGTATTTAACCGTTTATCAAAAATTTCGTCCTCTAAAAAAGAATTGACCAGAAAAAGAAGGTCTGTTTTAATGGTGACCCAAGCCTTTTGGAAAAATAAAGCTGTCATACCATCAGGTCCAGGCGCTTTTTCCGGATGCATCATAAACAAAGCCGTTCTCACCTCACATTCGGTTGCGGGTGCCGTTAGAAAATTATTAATCTGTTCCGTAATCAGAGTTTGAACTTCTGCCAAGGATTCCTCAAAAGCCTCAGGCTTAGTTGTAGTAAACAGTTCCTCAAAATAAGACACCGCTATAGTTTGAATATCTTTATCCTCTGCACACCAAATCCCGTTCTCATCATGTAACCCCGTTATTCGATTCCTTGCCCGTCTTTGTTTTGTTAGTGCATGAAAATATTTTGAATTATTATCCCCTAGTTGCATCCAAAAACTCCTACTTTTCTGATGCCAATACAACTCCTCATCTCGATAAGCCTCTTTCAGCCGTAATGTTAACTCTGTAATCTCCTCCCGTGGTCTCCTATCATCTCTTTGTGCCACGAGTAATTCCGATTTTAGTTCCTCAATTGTTTGCCGCCCATAGGGAGTTAAATTTTTCCTCCACTGCGAAATAGCCCGCCTACAATTAGTCAATTTTTCTACAAATTTTCCCTCTCCTAACTCAGGGTTCGAATTCCAACCATTTGAAATTGCCTCGAGTAATCCTTCCTTCCCAATCCATCTTTTGTCAAACCTAAAATTTCTTTTCCCGCGTGGGACCTTATCCATGAGTGTAGCTACCACCGGTGTATGGTCGGAAGCTACCATTGGTAAATATTCAACGTAAGAATTGCAGAATAATTCATGCCAATCTTCGATTGCTAAGGCTCTATCCAAACGACACCGTATTGGTTTTTTGTCTCGCCAACCCCGCCAAGATAACCAATCTCCGATGTATGGAAACTCCAAAAGACCGCAATTTTGAATCATTAAATTAAAAGGGATAAAAGAAGATGCATGTCTTAAATTACCACCTCTTTTCTCGTGATTTCCGGTTAATTCATTAAAATTTCCTATTAAGAACCAGGGTGTGTTTCTAACCAAACCGATCTGTGTTAACCGTTCCCAAACTTGATCTCTATTTTTCGGAACCGGATCACCATAAACAAAAGTAAGATGTATTGTTTTTCCTTTTACCACCGCCTCAACATCAATTAAACGATTACTTTCATAAATAATTGAAACATTAAAATCATTATTGTAATAAAGGGCTAAACTGCCACTACAACCGGTAGGATCAACCGTTTTTAAATTTTTGTAACCAAAATGACCGATAAATTTTTCCATAAACCAAGAAGGTTGTTTTGTTTCCGAAAGAAATAAAAAGTCTGGCCGGTGTTGTTTCCATATATCCCGAAGATAACCAATAGTTGCCTTATTGCCAAGTCCTTGACAATTCCAACTCAAAACCTTCATTTATTAAACTTTGGTTTAGGTGGGTTGCGTCCACCCGTTAAACCCTTCACCGTACCATGGTGCATCGGGTTATAGCCTTCATTCCCTTGCTCTTGCATCAGGTTATTCGTGACCATATCTAAAACCGACAAATGAATCATATTCATTTTATTCCTCAAACAAACCATAATTACTTCATGATTAAAAAACACTACTAGATCAGGACCCGCACGTACGTGCGGGGTTTTTGTACCATACGATTTTCTAGTATAAAATTTATGTCATCTAGGTTTCGAATGTGTGTATCAGTTTGAATTTGTTATGACTATTTAAAATAGATTTATGTAACAAATTACAGGATTGAATATATTAGTATTGGGAACTGATCAAATCGTTCGAGACATATGTATTCTGGTATATTTTGTATAAAAAAATAGTTGGGTATTACAAAACATTACCTTGTTAAATTAAATTTTTTTTTTGTAACATAATTACTGTGTTTAGTAATTAGTATAGTAAGGAAAAAATATCAAATCTATACTATTAATTTTTTTATATTGATACAACTCTATACTATTAATTTGTAATGATTAATATCAATTTTACACTAACATGGTCACATTTTGTTTTTTCTTGGTCCAAATTCCAGATATTTGTCGTGGGCCATATACATTCACCAAAAATATTTGTGTTGGGCCGTAAAACACACAAATATTGGTCCTGACATTATTTCATTTTATGTTTTTTTTATCTGGAAAGATATTTCTTTTTGTTCTTTGTCTGAAACCTTCGACAATTTTCCAATATGAGAAAATAAATTTTGTCGGCCGATCGACGAAGCTGTATCGAAATCCATCCGAAATTCACTTCCATCGTCTTCGCTTATACATCAATTCTTTGCAAATTATAAGATTTTAAAAGAGGTAAGCTTTTCTTCTCTTTGATTTTTGTTTGAACTTTTTTGGAATCTGCCGATTGGGTTTCTACCATAGATTTTTTCTTGTTTCATTATAGATCTTATACAACGATTGTGAATAACCCACAGAAATTTGATTAATTATTACCTTTTTCATATCTAATTGCATGCAATTTTTTTACATGTTTCGTTTTGTTTAAACATGTTAGTTAGTCAATCAATCTGTTTCTTCTCAAAATTCATAGTGTTAATAGACTAAATCTAATCAATTTCAGTATATCTTTTAAGCTGTAAATCTATAAATTTTTTTTTTGTTTTTATAATTGTTTCAGATTAGTAGCCATATTTCGATGGATTCTCAAAAGAAGAAGAAGAACGAAGATAAGTTTTTTTTTATCCAGATTATTGTATAACTTGAGCACTTTATTGCAAAATGCTCCTGCTTCATTATTCTTTATGTTAGATTCATGATACAAAGTTCAATGTTTGCAGGCGAAGTAGAATTTTGCGCACATCATTCTTATGGAGCTGAAGCAGTATCAGTTTAATTTAGAGCATTCTTGAAATAAAATTTGGTACAATCCTTTTAATTTAAAACGGCAATGTTTCTTAGTCTTTAGAATGATTTATATGGTTTTACTAATGAAACTTTGATAACTGTTAAAAATCTGCAGACAAAGCATCAATTTGAAGTTGGATTCTTAAGGAGGGAAGAGATTTGGTGTTGTAATTGGAGGTTTTCAAAGATCTATATTTAAAAGGTTAGTAAGATATTAAACATAACACTTTTGACTAGGTGATAACAATATAGACCTACTCTATTGATTTCCAAATTTGGTTGAATAAGTGTAGATGAAATACTTACAAATTAATTATGTCAGAAATTTTTAAATAGTAATTTCGTTTCTTGTGATGCTGTTGGAGCTTTATTCTGCATTTGTTTGTTAATAGAAGTAGTGAGTTGTGAGATTTTCTATATTATAATTGATCGGACTGTTTGGTTAGCAGTAATAACCATTATTACTTATAAATATGAAATAGTTAACTTCATATTACTGAATATGATGGTATTAGGACATAAAACTTTTGAAAAACAAAGTTAAGCTGTTATAAGCTAGATGTGTCTTCGAATTCATGTAAAAAGAAAACATGAAAATAACAGAAACAGTAGGGTTGGGTATCAGTTCTTCTCTTGAAACTTCAATCACTGATTCCTTTATTTGCCAAACACACGTTTTCATACCTTGTTTGACCTGCTCAGACATAAAGAAATCAGAAACTCTTATAGTATAACAGAGATATATCAGAATCATTTCATATTGGTTCTTACCTCTGTGAACAAATGTCTCTTTCAACGCTTAGTCTTATAGGTTCTGGAAAACTTCCTTAAACACCACATTCATCGTTTCCTTCTGCGGTTTGCCTTCTTTATCCACTATTAGGATCTTCAGTCCTTTCTTTGAAGTTACCCTTGAGATAGCCACATATAGTTGGCCATGTGAAAAGCATGGCCTGGGAAGATAGATGCCAACATGATTCAGAGATTGCCCCTGACTTTTATTAATGGTCATAGCAAAAGCCACTGCTATTGGAAGTTGTCACATGTTGAAGGCATT